TGAACCTCGCTACCGACACCCACACCCACACCCACACCCACGCCCACACCCACACCCACACCCACACCCACACCCAAAATTATTATTACTAATTACCAGTAGTAAAATAATAATTATTACTACTTCATTACATATTACTAGTACTAAAAAAAAATTATTACTTGTTATCAGCAATAAAGTAATAAATTCTTTGAGAGTAAGAAAGGTAATCATTAACCAGGTAATAAGTAATAAGTAATAATTATTACTGGAATAAAGTAATAATAAAAGAATAGATACAATATAAAATTGATGGAAAGCATAGGTGAGATATCAGCAAATAAATATTATTTATTGTGGAACATTATTTGGTCGATCTTGTTGCAGAAGCTCAGAATGCATAGAAAAAGCACTATATCAGAGAGTGTGAGTTGGAGTTTGAATTCAAGTCAGACTCATACTCACCAACATATCCACCACCATAATACAAAGACACGAACAAAAGAACAGTATAGACTATATAGCAAGCTAGGGAATCACTATATAGCTGCGCTATTAAATACAGAGGAAACAAAGGTCTTCTCAATAGTCTACTATTCTTTGCTACACTATAGTATTAAGAGATGCTGATGTCATTAGAAGCTTAAGAGAGATATATTGAACACATTTTTATTTATCAAAGATTTTAGAAGGTTTTCTGGTTGTATGGCTCGCCAAGTTTCTTTATATAAACATGTACAAAGCTATAGTTTCATTGTCTTTCTATTTTAAGAAAAGGTATTAAAATAAAGTGTGTATGTTTGTTCATTAAAAATGTGAATTCATTTATTTTAATCAGCCAAGAACAAAAGAAAACTCATATAGTACAGTTTTTTTCATAAAATTTTCTTTACGTTAACAAAAACGTCTTTCAATAGAGAGAGCAACTAAAATAAAGCATCAATCCTTATTTATTGAATGATTCACCTTACACAAAACTTTCATATTGTTAAAATTTCAAAAATAGAAGCCTAACATGCTTTCGCATGATTCAAAGTTATTAGTAATGGTAAGACAGATATTAGAAAAGAGAATGATGAATATTTTCTTCGTTTACATGAAAAAGACTTCATTACTCAGCTAAGTTAACTTTGAACGTTTTGGTTAAGTATTATTTTCACCAAACTTATTCTCCATAATCTAACAGCTATACTTCTTCCGTTCATGAGGTATAAACGGTTAGATCCATTTATCTGGAAAAATGGAATCTAACGGTATCATAATGATCTCATGAGGAAGCGAAAATCTAATCGATGATCAGAAATGATTTTCCTATCTTATTTGTGTATTACTGATTACTTTCTTATTATTTTATTACTTTTTTTAATAGTTATTACTATTACCAGTAATTAGTAATAACGATTATTACTTTGTTACTCATTACTTTATTACCATTACTCCTTTATTACTTTTATTACTCTTCAAAACTATTACTTATTACTTACTAGTAATAGTAATATGTCAGCCTTATTTGATACTATCAGTGAATTGCTTGATGTTTCGTTCTTCGTTCTTTTTCGCATATGCATTTACCGATGATTTTTGTTCTATGCATCAAAAGCAGAAAAAAAGATTCTCGACAAACTTTTCGTCGGTTTGTTCGGTTACATTGTTACGATGATAGACACATGGTGTACGTAATGATACTCTTTACGAGAGAAAAGTGAAATAAAAGCACGCACTCCTTCGTGTGTTTTTTGTGTACACAGTGGACCTTGAACAGAACCGCCTAAGCTCACTGTGAACAGAACATCTACTATCACTATTCAATTGGTTATGGAGAGTGTGCGACATCTAAGAAAAAATATTTTTCTATTATCTCTCTTTGAATAATTCTATTTTGTTGCAGCATCTATAACTAAAAATTTTTTCGTTTCATTCTCTTTTTCGGTACTGAAAAATCTGGAACGCAACTAAAACATGAGTAAAAAAAATGGACGATTGTATCTACGGGTTCAGTACGATAGATTGCAATGTGTTCATCATTATCTTTGATGGATCTGTTGGTATAGTAATCATTATTATTGGTATTCTGGCGAGTACTCCCTCAGACTTACCACTGTCAATCTATTTCATTCTTCTTGGTGTCAGTCTGCTAATATCAGTATTGTATCGCGTCATTATTTTGTTCAAGATAAGTTTCAGATGGCGAAAATGTCTGAAACAACCTAGAATGCTCTTTACTCAATTGTGTACCTTAGCTCTGCTAGTCATTTCGTCTGTCTGTATTTTTTGACACAAACACGACAAGCGATTCCGTTATATGATTTTGATCATTACTAATACCTCATCCATGGTCTGAGATCGATCATGAATATTATCAGTTGTTGGTGAAGTTACGAGAGGGATAAATGTAAGGAACTATGCTGTTACAGGTCGAAAAACTATTACGTCATACCCGCCGCTCAACATCAAACCGGCGATCTCGTCACGAACGGGTAATCACTAACATGTTTTCTTTGACAGCTTACTTCAAATGTACCACAAATAAAATTGTTACATATGATTTAACTTTTTTCCCAACGAAACTAGTCCAACATTTCACGCCTACACATAACTCATTTAGACACATATTGTTTCATATGAAAAGACTTCTACCGAACATGATGCATTTCAACGACTCATTGATTATCCAGACAGACACAACAGCAGAGATTTAATTGTTTTGTCAGGAAAAGAAGATTCTTCCTTATGCACGGTTGTGTGGACTATGCTTATTATGCTTTCGTAACTGATCAGGTCTTATCTCATTGGACTTTCTAGTCCGAACGATGTGTATGTGAGTATGATAATCATCTTCGAAACTCGCACGCTATTCTAAAAAACATAAGCTATAGAAGAAAAGCTTTCACGTCTCCATCCAATCATTTAACATCACCTGTGGGAGAGTAGAAACGTGTGCTCATTTATGAAAAAGTAGTCATAATAAACTCTTCGTTAATGACGTTCAAAAATGTAGTTCATAAAATGACGATACTTTGCTCAGGCATACGAAGTTGTTAGTGGAAAAACTCAAAGAGTGTTCGACTCTTACTGCCTAAAAAAAGCATTTCGTGATAATATAACCTATGCTGAAGCGTACATTTTCTATTTTATGGAAGACAATTTAATGCAGATTCGATTGAGAATTTGTGCCACAATAAGCACAATCAATGAGTTACTTCTGGTGTGGGTGTTGTTATATTATCAAATATCCACACCGACACTCACACCCACATCTACAGCTACAGCTACACCCACCCACACCCCTACATCCACAAGCTAGAATAACTATATTCGATCAACAGTGAAATCCTTGGATTACAACGAAACAAATGGAAATAATGAGTTGGTTCCATTTGGTCATCTCCACCAACAACGACGTTTCTTTGTGGAATTTTGATTCTAAGCCAATGCATTGTAATCCTAAGCTTTGTATTTTAATATCTGGGATTATTGAACTTCTGGTGGCTATTTCAACTTTTGTTACCCACTCAAATCGTAATTCGTTTGATGGCTTACCTTTCAATTATTATATATTGAGTGAATTCAATTTTCTAGAAAAATTACACAGCTTGCCATCAGAAACATGTATCATAATGGTTCGTGCTATTGTTTCTTGTTGGAGAGAATCTTCATTTTTGGTTCCTTTATCCCCTATTAGCTTTCGTATTTGTATCGCTTTTGCACTGTCTCATTTCAAATTTATTTAGGCGTGGGCTCTGAAAATTTTAGCTGTTGAGACGATTAGTCGATTTTCCTGTAATGAAAGAACAATTCAATGACGTTGAGAAAATACCAAGTTTGAAAGAATTTTCTTTTTTGATAGACTTCGATTGTTCACTAACGCCCTCTTTTATCACTCTATATGTTTTGCTTTCCTTATTGTATTGGCTTTTCATACTGTTAATCACATAAACAAAGAATTTACTTTCATACATAGCATTATTAGTTCTCTCTCTCATTTATCTTATTGATGTCTACTACATTGACATTATCACTCGATACACTACCTATTGAACTTATTCATCAAATATTCAATAGTCTCGATGAACAAACAATTATTCTTTCACTCCGGTATGTATGCAAACGATTCTATACGATCACAAATGTTTACGATTGTTATAAACTTAATTTTCAATCAATATCAAAATCGAATTTTGATCATATCTGTCGATTTATTCAACCGGAAAATGTTATTTCACTTACACTTTCTGATGAACATATAACACCAGGTCAAATTCAATTATTTTTTTCATTACTTCGTATCGAACATTTTACGAGACTTTGTTCATTGACACTCATTGATATTAAGGAAAATGATTTGAAACAAATTCTTCAACATGTTACTACTTGTAAGCTTATTTCATTATCAATTAAACAGAAAGATACTTATAATCGTTCAAAAATAACTAATCGTCTTCTTTCGACAATTCTTGAACAACCAAGTCTTCAAAAATTAACAATGAATGTAATAGAAGATAATACTGGTAAATTATATTGGCTAAGACAATGTACAATAAAACATTTAACATTATTCGATTGTTATTCAAATCATTTTTCGAGTATTTTTCATTGTTTTTCTTGTCTACGAACATTATTTATCAATAATTGTTATTTAATCGATTATGAAGGACCAATTATTAAAATCTCCAATCTTATACAAATGCAACAATTAATGTCACTTACAATGGAAAATTCTAGTTTTGATATGGATAAAACTGAAATAATTCTTTCGAATACACCTTCATTGATACATCTTCGATTGATTGGTGATGTAGATCGAATTGATTTTCCCTGGGAACAATTTATTCAAACAAAATTACCAATGTTAAATAAATTTGAATTTGTTTTTAGTAAGAAAGTGAATATTGATTATCGTTCGATCAATGGTCGACAATTGATTGCTTTATTTCAAACAGTATTTTGGCTTGAAATCAAACGTTGGTTTGTTACATGTGAACTTATTCGACATGCATCATCTAATTCTCGATATCTGGATAATGAAATACGACTCTATTCGATACCTTGTATCGGTCGTCATTTTGAATATCATCTGAATTCGAATATAATTACATTTTCGACTTTAACTGATATGAATAATGATACAACAATGATGGATCATGTACAATGTGTTTATCTAGAAACAAAAGAAATAATGGATGCAGTTACGAACAAACAGGTAAACAAGAAAAAGAATGATGAGTGTTCGAAAAAAAAAATTCGAAAAGTAATCCTATCTATCAGCTTGAGTTTTCTACGAATTGAGTTTTTCAAAAGCAACAGCAATCCTCTCATAATCTCAAGCAACACATTTCAGTAACTAACAAATAAAATGTGAGTCTACAGTTTCATAAAATACGACTCCGTGTGTATTTCCGCCTTTTTTAACGAAAAGTATGGTTATTGATAAATTGATTCGTTTCATTATGCGATTCCAAAGAAAACAAACTGATATGCCATCTGATTAATTCAACAGGTGATACATAGTTTTTGTTATCAAAAGATTTCATTCGAAAGAGAGAATTATTTTCTACATGATAGCATGGTTATAAATGAAAATTTCAAATTGAAACCTGACGATTCCAAAACGCGGAAAATTCAAAGTTCAGTTCTTGATTGGTAGAAACTGTCGAATGTATGTTTTTCTTCATCTTCGTTCAGCACAACTACAAATGTGAACATTTTACTCTAACATTGGAAGCCAATTTTTGTTTATTTAATATTTCCCAAGCGAAACTACAGACTCTCTTGTTGACAGTGAAGGGCCGGATGAGATGTTCATCGTAGCAAGTCATATGGAATACATATTAGTTGACTATCTTAATGAATGATTATAAATGTTGAAGATCAATAAAATTGAATTGATTTAGCAAAATCTTATGTTTTCCTATACAGTTGAGTGAATCACTAATTGCAAATTACAATTATCCCATGGAATTAGATTTTGAAGGCGAAATTGAATTGCATAGTTTCTTGTGTAGAAATATGCTTGTAGAGGATTAAATTCTATTCAAAAGAATAAATTAGAATGACAATAGTGAAATTGAAATTTAGACAATTATTCATTTTATATAAGGCTTACAGAGTTGAATTTTTTTCATTTTAACCATGCCATTGAGTAGAACACATTTTTCTCTACTGAAATAAATATTTTAATCTAGAACAAAAGCCTCTCAATGTTTATTTTTATTTGAATACTTTTTTTTTTATTTAACTGAAGTTTACATTCTTATCTATCATA